CTTTCTGATTGAACTTGAAACCAAGCCGTCGTGTTCTTGAGCCTAAATGTACCCGGGTGCACCTCTCCTTTCCCTCCATCCTCCGCCCCCGGGGCCCCCTCCCCTTGGCAGGAAAAAAGAGAATTTCTCTCTTCAAAGACGAACTTTAGCTAGGGGAAAGAATGGGGATCGTGGCTGCTGGGCATCTCTTTGGTGTTTGCGCTGCAGCCCTCACAGCCCCCCACGGACGGAGGGGAGGGCAGGGCAGGGCTCTGATGGTGCCCTTCGGGTCTTCCCACTGATCCCCCCGGCTCTACTCACTCTTGCCACTGCCCTTGGCTGAGCAGAGAGCTGGGGCCTGGGATTCCCAGGACACGCAGGTTCATATCCCAGCTCTGCTCCTCATTAGCTGCACACCCGTCCCGGGGTCTTCAGGCCCTCTCCTGCTCATCTGTGAAACGGGTCTCCCGGTCCTGACCCAGCCCGGCTTTGAGGAGGCCCTGATAAGACGGCCTCTGCTGGGGGGCTAAGCCAGAATCTAATTCCAAGGGGACAGGCAGGGAGAGACAGAAAAGGCAGGCCCCGCTTGCCTGGAACCCTCCTCACTCCGGGGCTGCGGCCCTGTGGTGGGGAGATCCCTGCCCTACTGTGTCCAGGTTTCAGTTCTAGGTTTCTAACCAGGACAGCTGAGGCTTCGGACACTGGTCCTCGTTACATGAGCAGTCTCTTTGGGAAGAGCTCCATCTCCGGCGGGGCTGGGGGACGCTGTCCTCTTTCGAAGGCAGGAGGGAGAAGGCGTGGTGTTTGGGAGAGGGAGGGGGAAGAGGGAACAAAGGTACCTGGGAGTCTTTGCTGGGCCTCAGTTTCCCCGACCGTATAATGTCCCACTAGGACTGGACCAGTTGGGGATGCAGAGACCTCCAGAAACCACAACTCCATCTGGGCAGAAACAAAGCCTCAGGTTTTGGAGATTCTCAACTGTAGGGGGACGCAGAGCAGATGTCAAGATGGGGTGGGGGTGAAGACTCCCCCCCGCCCCCAGCTGCCTTGTCCCCGCTGTGCACGCCCAGGACTAGCTGGTCTCGGAGGCCCCTCCAGCTGGACCCTGCTGGGCTTCCTTGATCAGCAATTCTGCCTTTAATCAAGTGGTCTGGTGCAGGCTGAGGGGGGAGGAGGGGAGGATGACGAGGAGGGACCGGTCTGGAGATAACATTTCTTTGCTTCGCTCAGAAAACTTTCACCCCTCACCAGCTCCCTTGTTACTAGCTGGAGCCATGCCTCTGGGCAGAAGGAGCAGAGGACTCCCCAGGCTGGGCCTGCAGGTAGAGCCACTCAGCTTGGCAGAGGGAAGGAGCCTGGGTAGCAATCCAGCCCCACGGTGGGCAGGCTTTGTCCCTGATACCTGGGTAGACCATGAGCCAAGCCCTGCTCTGCTGACCAGTGGGCCAAGCGTTTCCTGAGGGTGGGGGCTGCTTGCCTCCTCCGTGATCCCCTCTGGTTTTTTGGGGCTTTTTGGAGGGGAGGGGAGGGGAGGTGGGGACGGGGGCACAGCTAAAGGAGGGGGTCGTCCTGACTCCTTCAGCCCTCAGGGTCTGCTTGCAAACAGCAGGCAGTGCTGACTTCTCCCCAAGGGACCTGGTTGGCATTTTCTGGCTTTCTGTGCAGCCTTTAAGCTTGTGACAGGCACCAACCTCCCCTCTCCCCACTGCTCCTAAGCTACCCTTTCTCACTGTCTGCCTGCTGAAAAGAAATCTCCAGTCTCCTGAATTTACAAACACTTTACGGAGACCAGCAGAAACCAACAGAAAGTCCCAGGCTTATAGGTCTTGAAACGCAAGAAAGCCTCCTCCCAGCAGTGGCCCTGCAGGGGGCTCTAAAGAGGGCCAGATCCGAACCAGCCTCCACCTCCCGGTCTCTGGAGTCTACTGGGGGGGCGGCCCAGTGGCAGCTGTTGGAGGAAGGGCAGGAAGGCGCCAGGCCTTGTAAGTACAGTGGTTTTCTACTTACAAAAACCCAAGTTCCCTTTGGGGACAGGTGTGGCATCCCTGTTTATAGACAAGGAAACTGGGCTCCGAGGGGGGAAGTGACTGGCCCAGGGCCCTCAGCAGGCAGGGGATGGAGCTGGGATTAGCGAGCAGGTGCGAGCCAGCCAAGATATTGCCCTTTCAGCCTAAGCCCCTGACATTTGGACACGGATGCCCTTGGGTGAGACTGCCCTCCTCAGGCCCCCCTCCCTTTCCAGAACTGGGGAGGGAGGCGGTGGCGGTGGGAAGGGACTGAGATGGGAAAGGGAGGGGTCTAGATGAGGGTGCACTTGATGGCCGCAGCGGGGCCCCGTGGTGCTCCACACAGTCCACACCTCGTGACTTGGTTCTGGGAGGAGGCCCTCGCCCCACGCCGCTCAGCCCAGAGATCCCCCGCCCCTCCTTAGAGTCTGGCTGAGAACCCAGCCCTTCCCAATCTGCCCGCCGTGTAGGATAATTTTGGAGGCTGAGGTCAGGGTCCTGGGAGGGAAGAAAGGAGGGGGCGGTCAGGGAAGCTGGAGCGATCTCCATGCAGTGGGCAGTTGAACCTCCAGGCCTGGCCTGCCTGCTGCTCTCGTTGGAACCCCCTGGGCCTTGGGCAAAAGACCTTCCAACTCTGAACTCCAGTTTCTTCGTTTGAGAAGAGTCCCTGGAAGAGACTGGGCTAATGGAAAGGAAGGGGTGCAGGGTGGATGACTGCTCCCTCCAGTCTGTCGCTCAAGCGATTCCCAACCGCACCCCACCCCCTTCTGGGTCTCCTGCACAGAACACCAAGGAAGAGGCACCTTCCACAAGGGGAAGGGGGTGGGGACATCCCCAGCCTCTGTGGAGTCTGCCCAGTGTGGCTCCAGGGTCTCCACCCGGGGCGTGTGCCCGCCCTCCCACAGCTGTCTTACTTTGGGAGCCAGACTTAAGGGCCTTAAGGCCCGTGGGCCAGGGGACTCCCTGTGGCGTCACTTCCCACGCCCATCCTGAGGATGGAGAGTATGTCCTCAAACCTGCCAGGGCCCCAGGAGATGGTCTGAAGGCCAAGGCCCCCTACCCCATGACCCAAGTGGCAGAGATCATGCACCCACCTCACTGTGGCAAAGGGGAGGCTATGAAGTGGGTGGGCACCCACCCCCGCACCTGGGATCTATACGCAAACTAATCTATGCCAAGGAAGCATACATAAATGACCCATCTAAAGGTCATGACCTCCTGGGACCCTTCCCCAGGAAGTTAAAGACCTTTCATCTCCTT